AGCTCATAAGGTGTCTTCTCCATCATGGGGTGACAATAGAGTCGATTGCTATAGTAGCAAGCCGTGTTAATTGCTTCGGCCCAGAATGAATGACTCACATTATACTCACTCAATATTGATCTTGCCATGTCAATCAAAGTTCTATTCTTTCTTTCAACTAAGCCATTTGATTGAGGAGTATACTTGGCCGAGAATTGATGTCTAATTCCAAAATCATCACACAACTCATCAATTCTAGTGTTCTTGAATTCACTACCATTGTCACTTCTAACTTTCTTGATGGTTGTTTCAAACTCATTATGAATGCCCTTGACAAATGATTTGAATGTTGCAAATATATCACTCTTATCCACTAGAAAGAATACACATGTGTATCTAGTAAAATCATCCACAATCATAAATCCATATTTATTTCCACCAATGCTAGTGTATGTGGTTGGTTCAAATAAGTCCATGTGCATCAACTCAAATGCCTTAGATGTGCTCATCATGCTCTTCTTAGGATGTGTGTTACCAACTTGCTTTCCGGCTTGACATGCACTATATAGCTTATCTTTTTCAAATGTGACATCTTTCAAGCCTTTAACTAAGTCATGCTTGATCAACTTGTTCAATTGTTTCATTCCAACATGACCAAGCCTTCTATGCCATAACCAACCTATGCTAGACTTAGTGATCAAACATGTTGATAATTGAGCCTCTATAGCATTGAAATCAACCAAGTATAGATTCTCATATCTAAATCCTTTGAATATCAAGTTAGAGCCATCTACATTTATGATCTCTACATCATCCACACCAAATATGCACTTGAAACCAAGATCACACAATTGAGCTACCGACAATAGATTAAAGTTCATGCTCTCTACTAGTAGCACATTAAAAATGCTCAAGTCATTGGATATTGCAATCTTACTAAGCCCTTTGACCTTGCCTTTCCCATTGTCATGAAATGTGATACTATCAATCCCATTGTTCTTGTTTTTATTGATTGAATTGAACATTCTTGGATCACCGGTCATATGTTGTGTGCACCCACTATCAAGCATCCAATGCCTTCCTCCGGCTTTATAATTGACCTACAAAAGAAGATTAATTCTTTTTAGGTACCCAAACTTGCTTGGGTCCTTGTAGGTTAGTTACCAAAGTCTTTGGTACCCAAATGACCTTTTTCTTTGGGCCCACAATTGGTGTACCAATGAACTTAGCCTTCACACCATTGGCACCCTTAAAAAGCATGTAACAAGAATCAAATTTAATTGAGGATACATTAGGTAGCTTGTTCTTGTTAATCTTGCAAGATTGCTCTATATGCCCAACTTGCTTGCATCTATTGCAAAATCGACCATTGCACTTCACAAAGCTAACTTTGGGAGTGACAAAGGTCGTCTTGCCTTTCTTGGGGGTATAACCTAATCCCTCTTTGTTGAGAGAAAACCTTTGGCTACCAAGCACTTTAGCAAGCGGGCATCTCCACCATAGGCATCGCCTAAGGCACGAGTAAACTTATTCACCTCATTCTTGAGGGTCTTATTTTCCATCATTAGTGAGGCATCACAAGAGAGACCATCACTCAAAGGTGAAGTGGAGGTGGTAGTGCTACAAGAAGAGTTAGTAGGAGTAACTATAATGGGCTTATAAAAAGATTCATCAATAAGATCACAAATTAGTCCCACATCACATGATACGATCACTTGCTCTTTCTTGGCTTCCTCCACTTTGACTTGCTCAATGAGAGAGGAGTGAGCCTTTTCAAACTTAGAGTGAGCTTTGCAAAGCTTCTCATGGGCTTCCATTGGCCTCTCATGAGTGGCATTGAGCTCATCAAAGGATTGCTCAAGAAATTTTACCTTCTTACGTAATTCTTTGCACTCCTTTCTCTTTATCTCATTGCAAGCGTGCAATTGCTCACACATGTTCAAGAGTTCTTCCTTGGTGTACTCCTCATCCTCATTATCATCATTATCATCATTCCTACAAGTATCACTTTCATATTCATCATCATCACTCACATCATATTTTACCTTGGTAGGCTTTGCCATGAGGCATGTCGATGGAGTGTCGAAGATGGAGAGCTTGTCATTGATGGTGATGCTTGCTAGTGCTCTCTTGATAGATTTCTTGTCATTATCACTAGAGCTATCACTATCCAAAGAGTCATCACTATCCCATGTGACCACATAGCCTCCACCTTTCTTCTTCTTTTGGAAGGTCATTCTCTTCTCCTTTTCTTTCTTATCCTTTTTGAGCTTCTTCTTCTCATCCTCATCATTGTCACTATTGTAGAGATAATTTGCTACAACGTGATTGGGGCTCTTGCAATTGTAGTATCTTCTCACATATTCTTTGCTTTTGGTGTGATCTCTTCTCTTTCTTGCACCATAGCCCTTCTTCTTCATGAATTTTCCCATCTTGCGGACAAAGAGGGCCATAGCTTCATCATCAATATCACTAAGATCATCATCATCACTTGATTCTTTCTTAGACTTGCTCTTGTTCTTGGATGATGATGAACTAGCCTTGAATGCTATACTCTTCTTCTTCTTATCTTCTTCTTCCTTCTTGCCATCCTTGTCATCCCCCTCCCTTTCCATACGGTATGTCTCTTAGGTCATGACATCACCTAGTACTTGGTTGGGGGTAATCTCCTTCAATCCTCCTCTTATGATGAGCAATCTCAACATCTCAAATCTTGGAGGTAGGCACATCAAGAACCGATGAGAGACATCATCATCCTTGATCTTCTCTCTCAATACCTTCAAATCATTGACAATCACTTGCAAACGATGGAACATCTCAAGAATACTCTCATCTTCCTTCATCTTGAAGCTTGTCAATTTATCCTTGAGAATATACAACTTGGCACTCTTCACCGTCGATGTGCCCTCATATGTTTCCTCCAATCTCTTCCACACCTGATTTGCTCTTTCACAATCCTTGATTTGCTCAAACACCTTAGAATCAATGGCATTGTATATAGTATTGAGAGCCATTGTATTGCATTGCTTATTGATCTTATCTTGGTTGGTGGGATCATAGGGATCAATGATAACATAGTCATTTTTGGTCACCTCCCATACTTGATCATTGATTGAACCAAGATACATCCTCATCTTTCTCTTCCAATAATCAAAGCATGTGCCATCAAAGAACGGTGGTTTGCCCCCCACATGATTGAACATAACTTGAGCCATAATTTGACACCGAGGTTGTTAAACCTTCAATCAAACGGTGACCATGGCTCCGATACCACTTGAAAGGTCCTAATATAGCTAGAGGGAGGGTGAATAACCTATTTAAAATTCTACAAATCAACTAGAGCAATTTGATTAGTAAGACAAATAGCGAAATACAAACTTGCTCTAGCTCTACGAGGGTTGCAAGCCACCTATCCAACAATTCTAGTTGCAATGATTACTAGACACACAACTTGCTATGATACTACTCACTAAGAGCTCTCAATCTTGCTACACTAAAGAGCTCCACTAGATGAACTTAAATAACAAATCAAGCTCTCAATTCTAATTATACTAAAGAGCTTGTCACTACTAGTTTGCAAGAATATAAAAGAGTGAGTAGGGTGATTATACCGCCGTGTAGATGAATGAACCAATCACAAGATGAATATAAAATCAATCACTGAGAGAATGTCAAATGGCAAGAGACAACCGATTTTCTCCTGAGATTCACGTGCTTGCCAACACGCTACGTCCCCGTTATGTCGACCAACACTTGGTGGTTCGACGGCTAAGAGGTGTTGCACAAACCTCGTCCCCACGATTGGACACCGCAAGAACCTACCCACAAGTGAGGTAACTCAATAACACGAGCATTCCACTAGAGTTACCTTTCGGCGCTCTACCGGGAAAGGTACAAATCCCCTCACAATCACCGGAGATGGCCACGAACAATCACCAACTCGTGCCAATCCTCCACCGCTGCACCAAGCCGTCTAGGTGGTGGCAACCACCAAGAGCAACAAGCGAAATCCATAGCAAAACACGAATACCAAGTGCCTCTAGATGCAATCACTCAAGCAATGCACTTGGATTCTCTCCCAATCTCACAATGATGATGAATCAATGATGGAGATCAGTGGGGGGGCTTTGGCTAAGCTCACAAGATTGCTATGTCAATGAAAATGGCTAAGAAAGTGAGCTTGAGTCGACCATGGGGCTTAAATAGAAGCTCCCTCGAAATAGAGCCGTTGGCTCAATTATTGGGCTGACTGCGCATCGACCGGACACAGCACTGGACACGCCGATCGTGAATACCGGACGCGTCCGGTCGCACCCAGACCGCCACGTGTCCAGTTCAAACCAACGTAGCCGTTGCTGCCCATACTACCGACGACCGTACGCTCACACCGGACGCAGAAACACAAATGACTGGACGCTGAGCCGCCGAGTCCGGTCGAGTCCAGTAAGCCACCAGGGCCAACCGGACGCGTCTATTAGAAACTGACCGGACGCGGAGCCTCAGCGTCCGGTCGAGTACAGTAAGCACCCATGCTCGACCGGACGTGTCCGGTCACTCCGGGCTGGACGTTGCCAGCGTCCGATCAAATGTACTGCCGAACACTGTGTTTGCTGATTCACACCGGACGTGTCCGGTGTGGCGACCGGACGCGTCCGGTCGCTGAGTTCGTCGCCAAATACCGAACGTGTCCGGTCACCATACCGGACGCGTCCGGTCACTCTGTAACCAACGCGATCCTAAATGTGATCACACTCGCTAAGTGTCTCGATCACTAAAACAAAATGGCTCCTATAATTTATACTTTTACCTTGAGCCTTTTATTTTTCTCTTTCTTCTTTTTCAAGTTTAAGCATTTGATCATCACCATGCCATCACCATCGTCATGATCTTCGCCATTGCTTTATTACTTGGAGTAGTGCTACCTATCTCATAATCACTTTGATAAACTAGGTTAGCACTTAGGGTTTCATCAATTAACCAAAACCAAACTAGAGCTTTCATGCTCGCGGCGGTCGCCTCACCGTCCGCGTCTGCCGACGGTAGCGACAGAGTCTCGCTTTGCTTCCCGATCTCGCCGAGCCAGTCATTGATGCGCTTTAGCTGCAGGAGCATCCTCGCCTTCCCCTTCACGAGGGATAACCGTGACTTGGGGGATGATGATGATTTCGTGGCCGTGACCGTGGCCGGCTTCGCGGACTCATCGACGACAACCACGGCCAGCGATGAGGAGACGGTGGCGGGGGCCGGTTTGAGGTTGTAGATGCCAATGGCGTACATGTCCGTAGCAAGAGCGGCGCTCATCCAGGACGTAGCTCGGCGTCGGGGCTCGGCTGTGATGGCAGCCACCTCCTCGTCGGTAGCGGATCCCACCGTTCCATCGTTACTGGCTGCCGAGCAATATGGCGAGGCTACAGATGTGGCAGACTTGGTGAGGGTGTCGGTGATCACCGTGGCGTGCGAAAGCACGGCGTGGAGGGTGAGGAACTGCTCTACGGCTGGCTGCGGGTTCTGCTCCTCCGCCGTGGAGCTCACCTCAGCGTACGAGAGAAGGGTATTCTGGACAGGGTTATGAGGGAAGGGTATTCTGGACATTATCACTGGTCGGGCCCGTATGTTAGGGCTGCAAAACGGTGGAAATCTAACAGAAGGCGAACGGAATGACGTGGAGGACAAGAAAGTTTAACGTCATGGCACCAGGGTCCGTGTGAACTTTTTAGTGGCATGTAGGAATGAATCATCTTTCATAATGGCATACAGAGAAAAGCCCCAAAAAATGTAGCCTCGCCCGTCTCCCTCAACCTTGTGTGGACCTGGTATGCATCCATGGTCCAGTTTGCCCCGAGGCGCGCAGTCGCGTGGAGAAGGACCTCCGAGCCGCGCAGGCAACGTCGGCGCAGGAAGGGGCGAAGGCGAAGAGGCCAACGCGGAGTGGAGCGAAGACCGGCACCGAGGCGCTGGCCCTCGCGGCTGCGGGCACGCGCGACGCCACCCTGGCTCAGCTCCTCGCCTTCCTTGTTGCTCGGATTCCACCGGCCAGGTGGCCACCGCATCTCAAACAGCCAGGCGGCCACCACAAGGTATAGAGTAAGGAGGAGAGAGAAATAGAGATAAGGCTCAACCGCACAAGGCCAAGAGTGGCCGCTGGTTGCTATCTCGTTGCCTTGAGATTTAGAAAGAAAAGAAAACAAAAAAAAAAAAAAAAAAACAAGGGTACAATGTACATTTTATCTCTTTGACTACCAGGTGAATCTGTTTTGTCAAACGATCAAAAAACTACATCAACTCCCCAAGTGAATCTACTCTATACGTGAAGCCACAACTGAAGCTGTTTTGATTGGAGCCGGAGCTCTACCAAACAGGCCCATATATAGGCACTTGTCAAAAGACAAAAACGTCCTTATATAAAGCACACAACTCAAATACCACATGGGGGTAAATCGTCCATGTTTTTGTTGGTACATCGGATGGACCGGTGCCTCCACTGATTAGGTTTATAGAAAATAGCATTAATATTTATATATATCTTACGCATTAAAATTTTATCATTTTTTACATATTTAATTAAACACGAGATTGATGGGTTCCTCGAAAAATGAGACATATTCTCGTTATATGAACGATGGAGTAAATTCTAAATACAATAAGTTTGAAAACTGTGAACTATTAAACTACTGTAAAGTTTATGATAGTGGGAAGGCAATCCAAACCTGGTCCTGCGTTAGTACCAACGGTCTACCGAACATTTATTTGAATAGTTGACATTTCGTCCATGCTTCTGTAGCACTAAGCATAATGATGACACTCCTTCAGTGTATAAAAATGATGTAACTATGAAATTTTTGTACTAGTCAATCTAGTTTACCTTTAATCAATTTTATAGTGAATAGTAATAATATTTATGTCTTTAGCCAGATTCATTACGAAAATATATTTTATAATTAATTTAATGCACTTATTCTCTACTATAAATGTTTTTTATATAACTTTTGTCAAATTTGTACAAGACACTAAAGAAATGCGGTCGTTCATCGACCTCAGATAAAAACACTACAATTTTCCAAATACTTTTCATGATAAATCTAGTGAATTTTGTCTCACCTTATTTAACTACATAAATATTTATGTTGATATAAATTTTTTAAAATGATTGACTAGTAGAGCTTGGCAATGCTGAGTAACTTCTACTCCCAGATTTGAGAAGGGGAGTATTCCTTATTGCTTACTGATATTTGTTGTCATTGTCCAGACTTAAACTGTTTCTGTCTACAAATTTGAGAGCTTCCCATATACACGCCGGTTCAGTAAATTTATTTATACTTATTATTTCAGTTTTTAGGGTCTAAAAATGTAATTTCCGTAGCTTAGCTACCAGGTCATCCAAAGTCAAACGCAGACCCACCGATCAACTGCGAAGTCCTCGTCAGGCTCCTACCCGATCTCGAGACCCGTTTACTTCACTCTTAAACAAAAACACACAGACCGAGGACCGAGCATAGCTCGGGTGCCGGAGTTCGAGCCCCTTCGCTGCGAATTTTCGGTCCCTCAGCTCGTAGATTTATTCTCTTTTAATAATTTCAGTTTTCTCTGCTCACGCAGATATGTTATAATGGTAATAGTGTCTGCTATGTTCAGCTGATGATTTTTTAATATCTCTCAACTACGTTTGTTGTCTAGATATAACTGCAGGTTTGTTTGTGTGTCTGTATCTGAACAGGTTTGTTTGCGTACTGTTAGCATGTTCGTTTGGCTGTTACTTGTTATAAATGATCATAAATTTTTAGTTAGAACATTATTTTTCTCTTACACAAACCAACCAATAATATTTTTTTATAAACCAATACGAATCAGCCAACCCAACTTGTACGTGACTGTCAGGTGGTGTGTCCGAACACATCCTACAATTGTAGTTAGATGAGAAAAAAAAAACACAGAGACCCGTTTACCCGCAAGTTCGTTAGTTACCTTCCGCACCGGTACTGTCTTCCCCTTCCCTCCACTCGCGATCTCGCGCCCTCCTTCCCTCAACTCCGCTCCTTCCGCCTCTCGGACGGGCGAGCGGCCGCCCGAGCGGCCACTCACGCTCACTGCCCCCCAACTACGCCCCACCGGCGCTGGAACCTACGACGTCGCAATGGTAACTTCCTCTCGCCACCAGCTACCTGCGCGCCTGCTGGTCGGGGTCTGGTCCGGCCTGCAGTGCGCTTCGCGAAAAACGCTAGATCCCGATGCGACCTTGGCACCCGAGCCGAGATCCGCGGCCGAACCTATGGGTTGGTGCGTGGATCTGGGGCTCGGACGTGTTACGTGCTATGCGTGTGCTGACTTGTGTTGTTTTTTGTGTGTTTGTTTTTATTGGTCGTTGTTGGCGCGGATGAATGATGATGCAGCCGCTCCGGTTAGAGATCAAGGTAATTTCGAGAATACCCGGCTGAATCCGGTTAATGTGGCAGTGCCTTTTGTTGTCAATGTTGAGGTCGTTTCTCTAATGGTGATTTGTATTTTGCTTCATCAGAGGAAGCTCGCGCAGAGGTCGGAGAGGGTCAAGTCTGTGGACCTGCATCCCACGGAACCATGGTAAATTTGCTGGTGCCTTTTGTCTTGGCTAATTGCTGCAAATTTAAATTTACTGTGCATTTGAGCGTTCCGAGTGTTGGATTTCCAGAATAATGGGCTTCTGTTCGGTGCAGGATCATGTCAAGTCTTTATTCTGGCAGCGTTTGCATCTGGAACTACCAGACACAGGTAGGAAGCCAGTGTCTTTTTTGAGTTTACTCTTCATTTCAAATTATAAGTTGTATTTTGACTTTTTTGGTTCATCCATTTTGCTATGTATCTAGACATAGACATATTATTATATCTAGATGCATAGCAAAATGGATGCACCAAAAAAGTCAAAACGACTTATAATTTGAAACGGAGGGAGTAGTTAGATAACACTCTAAACTCTTCACCAACTAGTTAATATGACATTTTTTTGTTAGTTTCCATGAGCGCATATTTGTTATTTACATCCTGTTTATGGAAAATACGATATATGACTTGTAAATGCTAGGCTACAACCTAAGATCAATGTATTGTCAGCCCTTCCCCTTCATATGTGCAGAGTACGTATATTATGAAAGTGAATAATTTTGTTGTGATGTGTCAATAATAATGAATTGTCATGTCGTGGTTGGGAATTCTCAATACAAGCATATCAGAGTTTTTAATTATTTTACATGTTGTACACTGCCTAATTAATAAGAATGCACCTGTATCTGTGGGTATAATGACTGTAGTAATTGTTCACCTTAAGATGATAACTAATTTCATGCACGGGGATTGTGAGGAAGTTCTGAAGAGTAGGTAAAGACTAATAATCAAGGAGAGAAACAGAGACATAAAATCTATTATATATTCGATTCTGTAGCAACTTATCAGTTATCATGGATGGAAAAATGTGCGCAAAACCAACTCAGCTGGAATAGGAGGATCAAGTTGAGATGTTTGGTTTGAGCGTTTTAGTGCTTTAATGAATGCCGAATGGGCCAATTTGTTAATCTAGTGTTAACATAGGGTACAACTCGCCACAACTAATGCCTATTGAGGGAATTCTTAGGTGGTTCATCTGGGAGTTCAGTAGAGACTGGGCCATGTCCACTGACCTTTTGCGGTGATCATACTATCTCTACTGATGAGTGACAGGGATGTGATGAATTAGAGTGGAAAGGATTGTGAAATAGAATACTATGTGATTACATGTGATGGTGAGGCCATCCACCAAGCAGAGGTGGGTTTGTCAAGGAAAACAGGGTACATTGTACATAGTTTTTCTGTGGTTACATTGTCCACTGGAAATGGGGTTCCGTTACCCACTGGCACTGTCTATTTCCAGTCTTTTCTTACAGCTGGCAATCTGAAAGATTTATATGGTTTTGTACAGCCAATGTAAAATTTGATCTGATTAATTCTGTGTTATTTTGTTACCAGACAATGGTGAAATCTTTTGAAGTCAGTGAGTTACCAGGTTGCTTTCTCACTCTACTGTTTACATTTTTTTTTTCTTAATCAGGCTGTAGAGTGTGTATCATTATATTAAGAGAAGAAAAGGAGTCTAAGAAGACTCAAACAAGACCATTACTGTTTACACTTTTCTGCATGCATTTGTGTGGTTGTGCCATTATGCTCATGTAACCATGTTAATTGCAGTTCGTTCGGCTAAATTTATTGCACGGAAGCAATGGGTTGTGGCTGGTGCCGATGACATGTTCATCCGTGTGTATAACTATAATACCATGGATAAGGTCAAGTTGTTCGAAGCTCATACTGATTACATCAGGTGTGTGGCTGTTCATCCAACCCTGCCGTATGTGTTGTCATCATCAGATGACATGCTTATAAAGCTTTGGGACTGGGATAAGGGTTGGATGTGTACTCAAATTTTGGAGGGCCACTCTCACTATGTCATGCAAGTCACATTTAACCCCAAGGACACAAATACTTTTGCTAGTGCTTCTCTTGATCGTACTGTAAAGGTATACCCATTTATGTTTTATTTTGTTTAAATGATAATGTACTCATTTCTCACTTTCCTCTTTCCTAGCCTTAACGAGCAATTTTTTGCACTTGAAATTTCTAGATTTGGAGTCTTGGTTCTCCTGATCCTAACTTCACATTGGATGGTCATTCAAAAGGTGTCAATTGTGTTGATTACTTCACTGGTGGTGACCGGCCATATCTAATTACAGGTTCTGATGATCAAACTGCAAAGGTATGACATGTTCATTTGCACATATGAGCAGTTGGGACATTGTTGCTGATCAGTTAACTTGAATTAGGTTTGGGATTATCAAACAAAGAGCTGTGTTCAAACACTTGAAGGACATGCACATAATGTCTCTGCTGTATGTTTCCATCCTGAGCTCCCAATAATAATGACAGGTTCAGAGGATGGAACTGTTCGCCTATGGCACTCCACTACCTACAGGTTCTTATGCTATTTCTGTTCTAGTTTGTGGCTTTATGACACTCTGTCTTCGTGTTTACATCTTGATGTATGTGGTGCTCTTGT